AAAAATGACACCCTTTTTACGTGTTCGAAAAAAAATTTTTGTTGATTTCGTTGTACGTTTAGCCCGGTGATTCGGAATTCGGAATTTATTTTTTTTTTTTTCGTTGTTCAAACAAAAAAATTTTGCAAATTCGTGAACGAAAATAACCTTTGCCCCCCCCCCCCCCTTTACACGAAATTCGAACTCCACTTGAACGACGACCACCGCCCTCTACGGTATTGTATTTTATATATTCAAAATGGCTGCCTCCATAACATTGGCTTTCTTGCACTGTGAACATTTTTGGAAATATTGTCTCATTTCAACGTATATGAAGTAAAGAATAATGTCGGATATAATGGAACGAACTATTGCATCGCTACCTGGCTTTTTAACCGGAAGCTATGGAAAATCAGCCAATATTTCACCTGGTTTTCAGCACTTAATCCATTGCATTGGAGATTGCAAATCTAAACAGGTAATAGTTCATATGTAGAATTTCTGTTACTAGAAGATGTGCCGCTTTTAATGCGCCTTCCCTATAACCCAAACGTCAGTTGTTGATCCTTATCACTTTTACTACATGTAAATTACTTTTATGATCTGTACATGACCAGGAAGTAAAGTTCACATAAAATCAAATTCAGTCCAGTCGAACGGAACATTCATATATCTGTACCAAGTCTGTATCGCAATTGCGACAAAGTTCTTACTTTGACTGATATTTTATCTTTGAACGTCTTGCCAAAATATTAGAATCTCGACCAAACCACTGTGACCTTATAACCAAAAAAGTCACCACGCTACGAAGATTTCCATTACGATCGAGCGTTGTCCCATTAATCGAGCTGCTTGACACCTTAAACAATAAGCGTTTTCAGACCGGACATAGACGGTCTGTGCTTTTACCTGTAGATGTGAACAAAATTGATATTTCGATAACCAGTCATGTCACCCATTATGACTTTATGCACCGAAAAAAGAAATGGAAATGCAGCAAAAATTTACAATCATGAATAATGTGAATGTCATCGGTTGACAATAACATGTGTCGTTGCTTAGCAATATATCTTAGAAACCATGATCAGCATCTAATATTTTGTATACACGTAATGTTTTCCATGTTTTCACCACACCTTGTTGCATCATGCAGTTTTTATTGATCTCAAACAGCCACTATCTTCTAGGTTTCAGTTTTTTTTTTTTAAAAGGGCAGCAAATACCGTATCCCTTTTAGAATGACGTGTTTTGATTGATGTAAGCAGTGTGCTCTGGGCCAGGCGTGATTATTGCCCTGATGTGAGGGCGCACTTCCCATAGGTAATACAGGGTGTATGATAATACCTAATATTATCATTTGATTCATCAGGAAGAAGAGAAAATTATGAAGAAAGAAATAGAGATATTGAAACATCGACTGTTACAAACAGATATCAATAAGGTATTCAATGATATCATATACAATACTTCAAGATTAAATACCCAGCATGCAGCGCACTATTGACTGTTGAATCACCACATAAGACATGGCTTCTGTAAAACCATTTATTTTCACTGACATTTAATTTCACTATTCTGATATTTTGAGCTATTTCACTTCGTTATTTTTACAAACTTGGCAAGGAAACAATAAGTTCTATTGTAATTTAATTTACTGGATTTTATGAATCAGCAAAATTAAAAACCAGAGAATAATTAATGCAATTACAGTATTAAGTAAACACATATTGATGACCAGTGATGACAACAGCATATTTGTTCCATTCCAAAGAATTCTGAGTTTGTTTATTGGACATGCAAAGCTATTGCAGTATATGATGTAATAATTGTTATATACTATACCTGGTAATCTTCATTGTCATCATATCCTCTATTCGATATTGACATGAAAGAAACAAACTTTTTTTTAGAGACAAATGAGAGAATATCTGGTGAGACTAATTTACTGTGAAATGTTGGGTCAGGATGCATCATTTGGGTATATACATGCATTGAAGTTTGTACAACAAGGAACATTGCTCGATAAACGTGTCGGTAAGTTGATAATGTGAGAATTTACTATCGTATTATTATTTGTTTAATTTCACTATCCATATTTATGTGATATTCATATTTGTAAAGGGACATCATATGTTCTTGTATTACCGGTAATTGGACCACTTCCATCTTTCTTTGTAACAAGAAATAATACCAGCTATGAGTCAAGCACATAGTAGTACAGTATTTTGATTGAACATATTACATGTATTTATTTTATATAAAGACTCCCTGCCTATAGTGATCACTACCTTTATATAAAGACTCCCTGCCTATAGTTACTACCTTTATATAAAGATTCCCTGCCTATAGTTACTACCTTTATATAAAGACTCCCTGCCTATAGTGACTACCATTATATAAAGACTCCCTGCCTATAGTGACTACCATTATATAAAGACTCCCTGCCTATAGTGACTACCTTTATATAAAGACTACCTGCCTATAGTGACCACCTTTATATAAAGACTCCCTGCCTATAGTTACTACCTTTATATAAAGACTCCCTGCCTATAGTTACTACCTTTATATAGACTCCCTGCCTATAGTAACTACCTTTATATAAAGACTTTCTGCTTATAGTGACTACCTTTATATAAAGACTTCCTGCCTATAGTGATCACTACCTTTATATAAAGACTCTCCCTGCCTATAGTGATCACTACCTTTATATAAAGACTACCTGCCTATAGTGACCACCTTTATATAAAGACTCCCTGCCTATAGTTACTACCTTTATATAAAGACTCCCTGCCTATAGTTACTACCATTATATAGACTCCCTGCCTATAGTAACTACCTTTATATAAAGACTTCCTGCTTATAGTGACTACCTTTATATAAAGACTCCCTGCCTATAGTTACTACCTTTATATAGACTCCCTGCCTATCGTGACTACTTTATATAACGCCGTCGGTCGTCTGTGTCAATGTTTTACTTTTTCGACTTCTTCTTGAAAACTACATGCCTGAATTCTTTGATACTTGGTGTATATGTACCTTGGGTAGACCTGTCTTAGATTTGTTCATTTCATGATGATATCTTCAATTCTCTAATTTTGGTGAATATTTTTGTAATTTTTGGTAAAAAGTGATATTTTTGACTTCTTGTTGAAAACTGCAAGTCTGATTGCTTAGATACTATACATATTGTTCATTTTCTAATGATATCTTCAGTACTTAATTGAAATGTACATTGCTAACAGCAGAGCTATCTCAGCCAACAGGCTGCTTGTTTACTTACCTAACCCTTTGTGTCACTGAGCTTTGTTTTAAATTTTCTCACGTTTTCTATTTGAAATTACCTCCATTTACATTTTTAATCTCATGTTAAACTGACTAAAACAAACTCTAAGAATTTAACTTCATTCTAACAATTAATAATTATTTGTTGACAATTAATATAAGGTAGTTAATTGTATTGATTATATCTTAGGTTATCTAGCTGTCACACTGTTTCTTCATGAAAACCATGAATTGATTATGCTGCTCATTAACACCATTCAGAAGGATTTGCAGTCAACCAACATCGTGGAAGTATGCATTGCATTAACTGTTGTATGCAAATTAATCAATACCGAAATGATACCAGCTATTTTACCACTGGTAGAGGAGAAATTACAACATCCAAAGTAAGTACAGTCAAAGCTGTGATAATGACCATCTCTGTATAACGACCACTTGCCTATAATGACCAGTTTTAGGCAGTTTCAAGGCATAACATATAAGCAGCCTGTTTATAAAGACCACAAGTCTTATTTAAACATCCTTCCTGTAATATTTTTGCAGATTCGCCTTTGTTCAGAGACCATAATAACACTGGATTCTGCCATAAATTAACCCTGGGCCATAAAAAATAAAATGGGACCAAGAAATTGCCCAGCCCAGCGATTTTTCAGCAGTGTTTTTTTTAATATTTTAGCATAATTTTTCTGACATTTCAATCTAATGCCTGAAATAGTGTATTTCAAGTTTTATCGTAGTTATTTATGTTTTACACCTATTAATGAGTATGATTTTTATTGTGGCTAACGTGAATGGCTAAGCTTCGTTTCCACAATACTTAGTAAGCTGTAAACAATGTTTAGTTATTCTTTAAATGCTCAGTTTATCTTTTGAAAACAACTAACTTTTTGATTTAAAAAAAAATCATGTCATTTCCCATCAAGATCCAGGTTCAATAACATCAACATATTTAAATGAGCTATGATAATTTGAGCATCATCCATCATTCAGATTGGTTAATTAGCGAAAAAAATGGCGGATATCCTACATCATCAAACATTTATATGCGACCGAAATCATTTGATTACTATGAAACTAAGTTAAATTTTATTTGCATTTCATAGCAATTCAAAGAAATTTTTTTGTACGTTATTATAATCACTACTGAGTAATAATCAACAATTGTGAAATGCACCATGACCGGATTGCACTACCGTGATCATTTGCTACTAAGCGTTGCAGTTGTTTTTATTTGGAACTTCTTTTAAAATATACTTTCGTTACCAATAAAAAAAAAAAAAATGTATTTGCCGATTTTTTGGATCTAATATTTAGCATTCTGTTTATAAAACAATTTTGAATTCATTCAAGTCACACTTATTGACGCAACAGTATCATCTCATTATTTTCTGAACTAATAAAAAGTAAAATGTATGTATAAACACCACCTGTCTAGAAAAACAATTTTAATGAAGTCTCTTGATTGGTCCCTTTACACAAGTTTGACTGTATAATGTCATACATACATGTTTGTAAGTGTTATGAAATTATCAGTAAAATATCTGTTCTATATGTAAATGAATTTAATTTGTAATGAATCTACTGAGAAAATATCAAGGAAAAAGTATAAAAATTGTTGTATTCTTGATTGTATAATATAATATAATAAATGCTTTGTTTACTTCTTCAGAGCTATTGTCCGTACTAAGGCTGTTATGGCACTGTATCAGTTCTATAGGAAAGCTCCAAACTTGGTGCAGCATATACATGATAAATTCAGAAAATCACTTTGTGATAAAGACCCTGGTGTGATGTCAGCTTCTTTGAATATTTATTATGACCTCATTAAGGTAGGTCAAAGGGTATAAATTATGTAAAGTATTTTATGTGATAAAGACCTGGTGTGATGTCAGCTTCTTTGAATATTTATTATGACCTCATTAAGGTAGGTCAAAGGTTATACATTATGTAAAATATTTTATGTGATAAAGACCCTGGTGTGATGTCAGCTTCTTTGAATATTTATTATGACCTCATTAAGGTAGGTCAAAGGTTATACATTATGGAAAGTATTTTATGTGAGCTTCTTTGTATATTTATTATGACCTCATTAAGGTAAATGTAGGTCAAAAGTTATACATTATGTAAAGTATTTTATGTTATAAAGACCCTGGTGTGATGTGAGCTTCTTTGTATATTTATTATGACCTCATTAAGGTAGGTCAAAGATTATACATTATGTAAAGTATTTTATATGATAAAGACGCTGCTATGATGTCAGCTTCTTTGAATATTTATCATGACCTCATTAAGGTAGGTCAAAGGTTATACATTATGTGAAGTATTTTATGTGAGCTTCTTTGTATATTTATTATGACCTCATTAAGGTAAATGTAGGTCAAAAGTTATACATTATGTAAAGTATTTTATGTTATAAAGACCCTGGTGTGATGTCAGCTTCTTTGAATATTTATTATGACCTCATTAAGGTAGGTCAACGGTTATACATTTTGTGAAGTATTTTATGTGCTAAAGACCCTGGTGTGATGTCAGTTTTTTTGTGCTTCTATATGACCTTATTTTGAAATACTGACAATTCTTTGTATTTGTAATCAGAGCAATCCAGATGATTATAGTGATATGGTGTCAAGTTTGGTAGATGTCTTTCAGCAAGTCATAGATAAAAAATTACCTTCAGATTATGAGTATTATCGAGTTCCTGCTCCTTGGCTATTGATAAAATTATTAAAAATGATGTCCGTCCTTGGATCTGATGATGAAAAGTGGGTATACTTTGCTTTATGTTGTGATTATTTAAAAATGTTTAGACTAGTTTAATGTGTAAATTAACATTTTGTCATCTATAAGTCACTGAAATGTAATTCTAAACTTTTATTAGAAAAATTACACGTCATGTA